AAACAGGAACAGCAGATAGGAACAGGATCAATATATTCATCAGTGCAAATAAAAACTTTTATAGACATGGTGCCACTTAAAATTATAATAAGAGCCAAACTAGTAAGATATAAGTATGAATACTTGGCTATCATGTATGTAACAAACAACCAAACATGTGCTCAAGGCTCATTTTACTTCGCCTAGTAATCAGAGATTTTTATGCCTAAAACACCATAAATTTTCGTCAACAATATAAATAAATACCATTTATATTTGTCAATTTCAGTATGAAACGATTATTTCAACACAAAAAAGCGATATGAGGACATACTTGGTCGTACTAGTGAAACTATACTAAATACAAACAAATTTACAACGCCATGGCAACGGCAAAACATTGAAATAGAAATTGTCTAGAAATGATACAAATACTTGCCTTGAAACTCCAGACATGACTCCCAATGCCCGGTTGAGATACTTGTCTTCATACAAAGACATTCCATCATTACTAGCACTATCAGTTTGCAAAATAAAGCCAAAAACGTCTTCAGAATGCGATTCAAACAAAACTACAACACAAACATTTCAACGCTCGTGCGTTCCCGTGCGCGATAATCAGGAAAATTGCTCTAAAAGATTTGCTTTTCTGCCTAAGCCAATCAAAATCCGTATCTAGGGTAAACAAACACTCCGAAAGTGATTCCTGCAGTCTTTTACCAGGAAACTGTAATGCTTTACCAAGAATTTGGCGTCTGAAGTTGGCCGAACACTTTCCGATTTCGCAATTTGCCGAGACTGCTCCGAGCTATAGAATGGAAGATGGCGATTCTTTTGGTATATTTGTTATTATTATACGTTGAAAAGAAGCAAAAAGACGAGCATTTGAATCAGGCGGAACATTCAGAATGCAACAGCAAAATTGATAATGTGTCATTTGCATAAATTTCACCGCATTGATCATTTCAAGGTAAGAAATTCGCTTGATATTGAGCGAGTAACAATAAAATTATATGAATATTTCTGAATATATAGTATCGAACAAGCGGAATTTTTTGGTGGTATTTTCGTATGTCTACTGCAAATACTCGCGAAATTCTTTAATATTTAATCTTCCCGTCATATACGTCGGAAATTAATATTGGCGGATTGAATTGAGTTAAGGACCTAGCAGACCAGGTGCAGATGGATCTAGTGGACATGGGAAAATACAAAAATCAGAACAAAGGATATTACTGGATACTAACAGCTGTAGAGATCCTAAGCCGGTACGGATTTGCTATTCCCGTCTACAGGAAAGGTACGAAAAACATGACGAAGGCTGTGAACTTCTTATGGGAGGAATTCAAGAAAAGGTTTGGTAAATACCCGGAAGTTGCTCAGTTCGACGCGGGAAAGGTATTCTACAATGTTGATGTTAGGGACCTTTTACAAAAACACAACGTCCGTTATTTTTCCACTAACTCCGACAGAAAGGCAGCTATCGTTGAAAGATTTAACAGAACCTTGAAGACAATGATGTGGAAGTATTTCTACAACAGGGGAACTTACAATTGGGTCGACGCCTTAAGCAAGCTTACGAACAACTACAATCATACCAAACACAGCAGTATAATAATGAGACCTGCCGACGTAAGCAAGTCGAACAAGGACCAGGTATGGATCACGCTATACGGTCACGGATTAGGGGAATTTCCATTACCTAAATTTAGGGTTGATGATACGGTCCGGATAACAAAGTACAAAAATATCTTTACCAAGGGATACGAAGCAAACTTTACGGAAGAGATATTCAAAGTTGTAAAAGTATTCAGGGGAGATCCCAACATGTACGAAATAGAAAGTCATGACGGATAACCGATTATCGGAAAGTTTTACGAACAGGAACTATCCGCCGTAGACAAATAGGACGACGTATATAGGGTGGAGAAAATCCTGAGAAGAAGAAAGAGTATGGTGCTGGTCAAGTGGTTAGGATACGATAGTAAGCACAATTCCTGGATTCCGGAAGAAAATATTAAGGATATATAATAAATGGCTGACATTGAA